CATCTAGATAACCATAGCAATTAAAGTATTAAACGTCTCAACGAAAGCAGAACCTAAATATGTTGCCAGTTTTAGTGGAAGCAGACATTATAAATGGAAATGCCACTCTGTTACTTTATGTTATGTTAGTGTTGTAAAATGAACAGCAGCTATACTTTAGTAGACAATTTATTGTAGTTTTAGTGACCTCTTTTACGTCTTGTGGTTAGTCTATTTTTAAAGACCTACAGAAATACCAAATCACTCTTTACTCTCTAAAACCATCCACTTTAAAGACATTCTGTTTCTGGTGCATCATTGTCCAGTCAAGCTCAGGCCTGTCACGATAAACAATAAATCAATTAATCGCATGATGATTGAAAATTATCGGCCTCGTTTTCATTTACCGGCTTTATCATTTCTTCGTGTCTCTTTCTACAGAAGACATGACTCAACTCCGGTGCTCTTCACTGACTCCTCCTTTTCTCTTTAAAATCCATTTTAACCATCCAAAATCACGTTTTTGGATGGTTTAAAAGCAGCTAAGCTGAGAAGCTAAGCTAACAGGCCGACCTTGGGAATTAACCTCCGTCTTGTCGAACTCCAAAATTCACGGTTGAAACTCGTGCCTTCGAGTAAAAAGTTGAAGCTGAAAAAGAAGCTGAGAACTTGTTTACTGATTTTTTTATTAAAAGCTTTATGTGAAATATGCTATGCTAAAGAACTCAAACCACGAGCATCCGCCATGTCACCATATCAGCCCATGTCACGTCAAGGGCCCTCCCTCCTATTTCTCTTAAAGAGACGCTGCTCAACTATCCATCCTTTGGTTCAAACAGTCTTATACTGCCAACAGGTGGTCAAAAAAGGTACTACACTACAAACAAATCAACCTTTCTTCTAAAATCTGACAATTAATTATTGTTAAATTTCAAACAATATTATCGTTTATCGCAATAATTTCTGAGACGATTAATCGCCCAGCAAAATTTGTCATCTTGACAGGCCTAGTTGAGCTGAAAATCATTCAGATCTGGTCACCAGCTGAGTAACTGACGCATTGTTTGTCCAGGTGTTTGCCTCTGCAGTGTAATGGTATACAGTTCAACTTGTGCCAACTGTTCTTGGAGATGTTATGTCTCTGAGAATGGTTCTGAACAGTTTCTGTTCAGAGAACGTTATTTTATCAAAAAAAACACGTTTTATTTTCCTGTCTGTTTATCGACAAGTGACAAAGTGAAGGTTGTCCTCCGTACTGCTTACCAAGAGTAATGAAAGATACCAAGCACCAAATCAGAAGCTTTTCCAAGTTAATTCGTTTATCTACCAAGTAGCTTTACTGATCCCCTTATAAACTTTGACTAAATAACATGGGTTCAGAAGACCCCGCAGACTCCACACCCACCACCTCCTGCTCTAAGATGACGTGTTTCTGGTTTACCTAAGCTGCTGGAGTGTTAAGGGAAATGATGGCTCCTCCGCGGCGCAGAGTTTTAATCAGATATTGCAACACAACAGTGCAGAGTACCTCAGGTGTGTGTGCGTGTGTGCAGTAAGTGTCTCAGCTCTGCATGCAAAGTAATGAGCGGGAGATGAGTCCATCAGGAGTGTCATCACTGCATGAATGTGTGGTGGAACGGATGGAAAGAAGTTGTGCCTGTGGTTCTGCATGCCTGATCATGGATGTTCTGTCCAACCAAAGTAGACTCTCAGTTGACCTT